TAGGACAGTTGAAACTCCTTTGTCCTTCAACAACCTTGGGAGCAATGCCGGAATAAACAATCCCTACGTTAACCGTGTGACTGAGATATCTAAGAACATGCATTGCGGCATCCCAATGAGCTTTAGCCGGACGTTTGAGGTGTTGAGAAAGAACCCCCACTGAATGAGCAAGATCAGGACGTGTACACTGAGCCAAGTACATGAGTGAACCCACAACGCTGCGATAGGGAAGTTTGGTTTTAATAAACTCTTCAGCTTCTTTGTCCGTTGACTTGATAATTTTGACATTTGGTGAAAGAGGTGTTACCGCAGGTTTCGAATCATTCATGTTGAATCTGTTGAGAACAGTGACATTGCTGAGACAATGAGTAAGTGAAGTTATCCAACCTTTGGACTTGAATTCCAACCACCGTATGTGCTATCCCTAAATCTTCCATCTCCCATTTCCTAGAGATTTCCAACTATGTTGCAATATCGTTGCCAGTGATGGCCAAATCGTCCACATGCACATACACAGCGGTAAACAACTTCCCTTTCAATCTAATGTAGATACAATGATCTATCTCACATTGATAAAAGCCAATTTCAATGAGAAATTCCTCAACATCGTCCTGCCAGATCTTCGGAGATTGTTTGAATCCGTACAACGCTCTTTTCATCCTCCACACTTTGCGTAAATCAGCGGCAGTTCTGTAACCTTCAGGTATCTCGACGTATAATTCTTCATCCAGATGACCATTCAGAAATGCTGTCACCGCATCCATCTGATGAACTTCCCAACCTTGAATTGCAGCAATAGCTATTAACAGACGAAAGGAACCCGGTTTACCGGTGGGAGCGAAAGTCTCGCCATAGTCTTCACCTGGAATCTGTGTATTACCCATCGCAACATATCGTGCTTTGAATTTATAACCACCAGTAACCAAGCACTGTTTCCTGAATATCCAGAATCCACGAATTACATGCTTATCAGTTGGACGATCTACCAGTTCCCACACTTCTTTATCCCTCAGTGAATTGAATTCTTTATCACATGCCAGTTGCCATTGTTTACTTTCAGATGATTCCATGGCCCTTTTTTAAGATTTTGGATCAGGAATAGCATGTAAACCGGCAAGATTTAACTCGGGAGGAAAAAATGAAAAGAATGAACCAGTAATAAAATCATCTTCAAATACAGCTATCAAGCACATCCCCTTCAATGAATCGTGTTGCTTCTTAGATGCTCTAGTTGATCGACGAGGCACTGAAGTTTCAACGATCGAAGGATTGGGTACATTGGATGAAGACTCTGGAGTTGACGAGATGTCATTTGATCCTGTAGGTCTGATTGAAAGATCTTGAATAGGTGGGATATCTTCTGAGTCATCGTCTTCATCAAAGAAAAGTACTTTGATTGGTTGACGGATATCTTCGACAATATTCTTGTTTGACAGACTGAAGGGAAAAACATTCTCATTAAACGTTGCATGATGAGTGGTGTAGATTTTCTTTGTTGAAATGTCAAATATTTGGTAGTTGAAGTTGTCCTGATCAAAACCAATCAGCGCGCCTTCAGAGCTGACCGGGGAAAACTTTGAATCTCTCAACTCCTTTCTGATCAGTCCGTAAGCTTGACATCCGAACACTCGAAGATGATTAATAGATGGTTTCCTGAAATACCACATCTCAAAAGGTGTTTTCCCACCATCCAATGCAGCGGTCATACACCGGTTCGTAAGAAACACAGCAGCACTGCATGCAAAATACCAAAATCGGATAGGTAGGGAAGATTCTAAAATCATGGAACGAGCCCTGGTATTGACTATGCGCATACCTCGTTCCGAGACGCCATTTTGCTCAGGAGCATAACCCGAAGTTAGATGAAGATTGATTCCGAGCTCCTTGAGTTTTGGACCTAGTAGATTATTTAGGAATTCACTACCGCAACTAGCAAATCAGCGGCGGGCGCCGCGGCTAGGCATTCTTATTTTTAGGTAGACACAAAAACTGAACAGTGGCCCGCGGCATTGCACCCAAGATACTTGTTTCAACCTGGATCCTCTGCTATGTGGTAGTGCAGATGTAGTTCCTGTCATCCATGGTAGTGTATGGGTTTATTCAGTCAAATTATTTGGCTCCCATTGCTTCTCATGTTCTATTTGCTTAGCTTAGTTGCCAATTATATTGCTCCTGCTACGCCAATTCCTAGTGTTGAGTTGTGGCAATGACACCCGCCCTGCCAAACCCACAATGACGTCTTTGAGTTTGAGACAGTTTGCTTTTGCTTTCTTGTGAGTCTGGTCAGATCTACAGTGTTTGGTTCACAAGGATATGAACACATGGAGATAGAAGCTCCTCGGATAGTTTAGAGAAATTCCAAGTTGGTCAATTACTCTGGTGATGGACCTTGAGGAATGTGGGATACAACAAGGTCGAAATAAGAATAATCATATACATATTTTAAACAGAGTAGGTCTGGGGTGTTGCGCTGTATTGTGTGATCATTGCGGCATCTTAAAGGAATTGCTTAGCATTTGATTCCTCACCTGAAATCACACTTGAGCTTTACAAAGTTGCAAATATCTAAGGCTGTGACCATTATTCTACCCTGCAATATAAACCAAGATGACAAGCCTCAAGGTGTATCAAAGCAGTCTCGCAAACCATTTGGTCTGAGTAAAATCTAGTTGCCACACCCATTGTTTTTCATGAATCACTTGCCCAAACCCAACATGTGATGAACCTGTGTAGATGGTACTCACTCATCTGATGGGAAGAGTTTGGCTTACAGCTCATTGAGTTTGAAATTGAATGCTACCTGAAGTTGTCTTTGCCTTGGATGTATGTAATATTTTGAGGTGCGGCTCTGGATAATCCCTTGGAATGAATCCTACTCGTTCAAATTCGAGCGCTACATGAGATTTGCCTCATGCTCAAGAACCAAATTTAAAAAAACCTTTGAATTCTGACATCTGAAAAAATTGTGGAGGCAATGGAAGAGTGTAACTTGTTGAATAAGACCTGGACTTGCACTCCCATATATAAAATTGTAACCCAAAACAAACTACTCTGACCGTGAAGGTGTGAGTAGTTTTAATCTGGGGGGAGTTGTCCCACACAGATTCACTACGACTCAGAGAGTCAACACTTTATGACCTAAAGGGCGCATAGAAGCGCAACTCACTGAGGACTGGGTAATTGAAAACTAATCCAAATGACCTTTTTGTAAAAAAAAAGTATCATAACATCAGCAATGAACTCCATAGCCAATATTATTTTTCAAGAGAATCAAAAAAAGAGAATCAAATATTAAAGAAAGTCAAAAAATTAAAACACTAAACCTCTTTGAAACTTTCTGAAACAATTTTAGTCAACTTTCCTTTTTCCTTCAAATTGAATTTCTTTTTCATTTCCAAAACAAAATCCTTTTAAAGATCCAATTAAAATTTCAATACTCAAATCAAATACATCAGGAAACTGTGAGCAATAGCAGGGTTGTGCAAAAATCCTGACCTGCGCGGGTTGCGGGTCGCGGGTCAGTACATTTGATACTGTAGCAATATGGAATTCCAAATCCGACGACGCAGTGTCATTTTGTAATTACATATCCGTCAACGCAGCGTCATTTCAATATCCTTGAACCCCTCAAACCGGCGCACCATTCTCGTGAGGCCCGAAAACAATTGGACAGGTTACCATGTTATCCCATAGGTCCCCATCTATCCCACCTGGGCAAAGGTCTTGACGGACATATTCGCGAGGTGTGCTTTTCATTACACCGGTTGAAAGCCATGCATTGCTTGGGTAGCAAGCAGATGACTTAGTCTGTTATCTGGGATGCGCACGTGGCAGGCACAGATGGAAGTATTAGTTTGATTCATTGCATCCTCCAAAGCCACTTCGTGTTTGTTTTGATTGCCAGCGTTGTTGTTCTAAGGTTGAGGGCAAATGCCCATTACACAACAATGTATCTAGTAACGGTGATTTTCAAAATATCGATATGTCGGAAGTGGAAGTGTGCGGTCAAAAGCAATGGTGAAGTTCTTACGTTTTGGGGTTGCTACAGATCACATTGGATTTGCTGATTATTGCGCGGCTGGATGGTTTGAGGCGTGGGACACACAGTGATTGTCAATTACATATGTGATTTGGCAATACATGTGAAACGACCAGCGCGGGTCAGTTTCGCGGGCCGGCCTGATTAGTTGCACAATGCCTCAAATTCTCTGAGGAAACTGATTTAAGTTTGATGAAACCAAATTGAAATGTTCAAATTCAATTATACCACAACATATTGATTTTGTAAGAGGCGTGATTAATAATTTGAATTATTCTTGATTCTTATTTTTTAAAAACTTGTGGTTATATCTATATAAAAAAACAGTTTTAATTTTTTGAAAAATTGATTTCCAAACAGATATTACTTTCACATTCTCTGACCAGCTGATCAAGACAATTTTTTTCTTTTTTTACCTTTACCTTTTTTCCCATGGACATGAACTGCCTCTTCATCTTCCTCCTCATTGTCTTCTAAGACCCAACCCAAATATTGTAGATAATGACCACCCAAGAAACAATCAGGAAGTTGATTCATCCATTGTCCTAAAGCTTGGGTGCATTGGATTTGAATCCTGGGATCTGAGTCTCAATATCAATGAACAAAAACACTGTAGAAAAAAAATAACTTTATCAATCTCCTTCTTCACCGTCCATAAAAAAGTAACTTGACTAACCCATCAAAGAAATCATTAATATGATTCTTAAGACTCTCTTTCTAATTACTAACCAAACCTTTCCTTTTTTCCCATTCATTTAATCTTTCATCACTTCCAAATCGAGTGTTATGATGATTTTCATTTTTAGGATCTAAAACTTTTTTATTTACTCATTGATTGAATTCCAAATGTAATGAGTTCATTAAATCAGTTTCATATTGGATTAAATTTTGATGTGATAGATTGATTAATGTTTTAAAGAGATCGATCAAGTTTTTTGAAAGTTTTTCTCGGTGGTGAGTTTCAGTCTTGATGATTTATTGATTCTTGAACTAATGAGTGGGTAGATCGATATCTATGAATGTACCACAGATTTGTGAAAGATTGAGTCAGTATTGGTCAAGGACATATGAAAGGAGGATGCCAGTCTTACCTCATCAACTCGAAGTCTCCATCAGGTGGAATAAAGCTAATGGTCCAATTGGAATCAAACTGGCCAAATTTGACACATTGATGAAATTGACAGTCATCTAATTCCACTGAACTATCATCATGACTTGCACCCATAGCCTTGGCTTGATCACTATCTAATTCTCAAACCTTTCGAATTCATCAGCTCATGTTTCTCATCAAGGAGCCTTGTAACTTACGTGTTCTCAAGTACTAATTTGTTGTACAAACCAAATTTACATTCTGGTGTACCTGAAAGGTACGCTCGCAGTAGGATTTGACCATCAATATCGGACCAAAGAACGCTTCCTAATAACATCTCAAAGTCAGTATCAGGTTTAAGAATCGATTTCTGATCGAGAGATACAGCTGAGATGTAATTGAAGCTAACCTTCAGTAGACATGATCAAATTGACAGTTTTGATTACATCAACAAATGCTTCATTCTTTTGATATTTGACATCATGCCTTTGCCAAGAAGTAGCACCGGTAGCCTGAATAGTAATCTTTGATGAATCTTCTCACTTTTTAAGTGAATTGATTATAATTTAAAAAATATAAGTTAGCTTCTAGTTTGTATAATGTGAGATCGATAAAGATGACTAACGACAGCTTGTTCAGTTTTAACACCTTCTGTGGTGATATACATCTTCAAGGTATCAATTTCACTATTCTGAGGATACCCAAAATCCAATGTCTCTGTGGAAAAACCAAATCCCAATCAAAAGTCAACCCATTGAATCTCTCAAAATTTTTTAAAAAGGACTTACCATCCAGTAATTCATAAATGAAAACAAACTTATTTTTAGGCCGTTGCTATTTGCAGCCCACAAGAAAACCATGTAGGCGCTGGCCAAATTACGCCTACATGGGTGTTTCCCACGAAGAAGCGCCTACATTTATGATGTAGGCGCTGGAAACCATCCAAAATGACGCCTACATGGGTTTTTTAACGTGTAGGCGTCATTTGGTTACGCCTACATTCAAAAATTGAAATGTAGGCGCTATTTTCGAGCGCCTACATGGGAAATCCAATGTAGGCGCTCAAAATTTATGCCTACATTTTTAAAAGTGAGTGCATACATTCAATTTTTGCGCTCAAATAAGCGCCTACATGCAGTCCTGCATATGTAGGGGCTACAAATCCGGCAACTACAGCTCCAGACTGGTCTGAAGGGTAATGGAGAACGATTTGCAAGTCAAAATGAGAGTATTGGAAGACGGAAAAAGCAGCTTGGACTCAAAATGAGTGTATCGGAAGATGGATAAAGCAGTTTGGAGTCAAAATCAGTGTATCAGAAGACGGAAAAGTCACGCCGGAGTCAAAATGGGTGTATCAGAAGACGGAAAAAGTAGTAAATTATTTCAACTCTGAACTCAGTTTGGAGTCAAAATGAGTGTATCAGAAGCGGAAAAAGAGGTAAATTATTTCAACTCTGAACTGCTATTTACGTCTTCTGATACGCTCACTTCAGAGTTGAAAAGAGCATATTCATCTTCCAATACGCTTAACTGCTTTTTCTGTCTTCCAAAACACTCATTTCAACTCCAAGCTGCTTTTTCCATCTTCCGATACACTCATTTTAACTCCGAACTGCTTTTTCCGTCTTCCAATACTCTCATTTTAACTTGAAACTTCTTCTTCATTAACCGTCAGACCAGTCTGGAGTTGTAGGTGTCGGATATGGAGCGCCTACATATGCAAGACTGTATGTAGGCGCTTATTTGAGCTGAAAATTGAATGTAGGCGCTCGAAAATAGCGCCTACATTTCAAATTAGATATGTAGGTGCTCAAAAATTACGCCTACATTCTGGAATTTTGAATGTAGGCATAACCAAATGACGCCTACATGGGTTGTTTATCATGTAGGCGTCATTTTAGATGGTTTTCAGCGCCTACACCATAAATGAAGGCGCTTTTTCGTGGGAAACACCCATCTAGGCGCTGTTTTGGCAGCGCCTACATGGTTTTCTTGTGGGCTGCAAATAGCAATGGCCTATTTTTAACTGATTCTTCATCCATCTTACCAAAATAACTGCAAGTTGAATTAATCAATCAATAGAGAAATTCAAAGACAATCACAGCATTTGCATTGGTTTTAGTGACAGCAGCTAAATATGAATTTTGATGTCTAACATGAAAGAATGAAGTAGATCCTAAGGTGATAATAGGTGATCGTACATCTGGATTTGAGATCACGCGGATTTGAAAGATATCGGCGATTGAACGTCTGGATTAGATTGATATGATCCAGGCAGAATTGGTTAGTGAATTGGTTTGAGTTGAAGTTTGATGGATTACTTACTTGACATCTGGACGATATAACCTACTGATCAAGACTTCACCTTTGAGATTAAGAATGAACAAAGCTGAAATCATCTTGAGTGTATCAAAACTAAAGGTGATGTTAAGGAATGTTCTGAGAATGAGACTGCAGGTTGATAGATTGGAATTTGTCAATTTTAAGTTGTTATCGTTGAATTTTAGTATTTTCCATTTCAACCTACGTAGGACTTCAACTCGTGAACCTTCAACTTGTCTCTTGCTGAGCCCATCAGATAAAGAATTCAACCCTCGCTTCGTTCATCAACTTGATTGGAAGTACAAGTCAGCACTGCACCAACATCCAAGCATATCCCACAATGTCTAATCTGATTCATCAGGAATGTGTACTCTCTACGCTTGTCCTGTGCTCTAAAATAATTAGTGAGACCTGCGTGTTGGAGACGGACTCTTTGTCTTGTGCGCCGTTACAATTTTACCACTGAATACAAAAATGATACACAACTTGTTGCAATCTAAACTTATTTAGAAAGCAATCTAATGTGATCAATCAAAAGAACTCAATGTATTAGAAGAGGTTTTCTTTCCAGATGATAAGGAAAATCCTTGCAAGTTTTGTGTCTTACTAACGTTTTTGAATCCTTCTCGTATATCATTCTATACTATTGTGACAACCACAACACTATTTCTGAAAAAGGACAAATATTCATATTTAATAATCAGAGCGAGCTTATTGAGGGGAAAAATTGACTGACTCTTAGAATACAATTAATCAAAAGGGTGATGCCTTCCGCTTCAGCTTCTTTGTTTGAATTGGTTTGATTTGAATCTTTACCTGTATACATCTTGATCCAATATTCTAGAGTAGGTTCAATGGCTGAGCTATTCTTCTGGATTGAATCTAATCAAAAGATCTCAAAACAATAGTTGATAGATTTTCAAGATAATCAACTCAAAAAAGATAATCACTCACTAAAAAGATCATCATCTTGTGAAACGAAATAATATGATTTAACATGATTTCCTAATTCTCTATCAATCCTTACTCCTTCCTCATGATCATGATTTTTTCTTGAGCTTGTTGTTGTTTTGGGTTTTGATTATTTGTTGATTTAGTCTTGGATTTTTTGATTGGAGTTTGACGTGTCCAAATCGGTTTTTTGGATTCTTACTTTTTAGATTTCTTTCAATGATGATGAAGAGAGGAGGTGGGGTCGGGAACAGCTGAGCCTAAGGGGGTCAGAGTCTTAGGTGTACAGCTTGTTAAGGGCTTAGGGGTATAATCCAGTTTTGCCGAGAAACTGGGTTGTGCCTTTAGTTTTATGATCAAGGGTGAACTGCTTAAGAGAGCAGCCAGTCTGCCTTTCGGCAAGGGCCAGATAGGCCATAAAAACATCATAAACTTCCTCTTTTGATTTATCATTGAGTGGAAAGATATGTCGATATGAAGAAAAATCATCACAGAATAAGACAAAATAGTTTTCATTATTTAAACCCGTAGTTCTAATGATACCGCTGAGGTCTACATGAACGTTTTCTAAGAAAGTACGAGCTCGGGGTCTGGTCTTATTGTGAGGTATTTTAGTGTTTTTCGACAGAGCACAAATTTCACAATTCAAATTCTCCTCCACATAGTCAAAATCCTCCACACTTTCCATCTTAGCCATCAACTTAAGGTATTTTGAGCTTACATGGCCTAATCGACGGTGTTGAAGCGATGAAGAGATTTCAGTCACTGATGCTGAGACTGAGTATGAGATTCCTGGACTCACAGGAACGAGTAAGATGAACATCAAGTTGTTGTCCGACATAAAACCGTTGAAGATGGCTAGGTCCTTGAGTACTAGAGAAAAATTTAGACCATCATGAAAAACTTCTCGAACACCTTGCTTCTTGAGTACACCCCCTGCAACTAAGTTTCTAGATAAGTCCGGAACATGGAGTGAGTTCTTGAGTTCGAAAACACTGTTATCTCCAGCCTTCAGTTTTGCAACACCTTGACTGTGAACAGCCAGGGACATATCTCCTCCTGCAAGTTTTAGGCGCTTGCTTGCATCTTCAATCTTAGTAAGAGATGATTGATCGAAAAACTTGAGGTCTTTGAACATGTGATGGGTTGCTCCTGTGTCGTGGAGAGCCCAATCACAAGAGTTGGACAAAGCTGCAGAGACCGAGGCACTGACGGTGGGATCTTCTTCGAATTCAGATGGTGCAGCATAAATTTCTGACATCTTGAGGATTTCACCGTCTCCATCTTCGTATTCCACATTCAATGAAAGTAAAGCCATACTAGCTGAAGCTGAATTCACGCTTGAATCAAAGACATTTTTGACACCTCTAATGTTAGAGCTTGGTGGAGTTTGAGAAGTTGAGTTTGAAGTTCCTCCAGTTGATTTTCCTCGAAACTTTGAAAGAAAAGCTAAACGTTTGTCGGCATTTTCGGGTTTAGATCAACAGTTTTTAGCCATATGAGGACCAAAACATTCTTCGGCAGTACATTCTTTCTTTGATGATTTAGCCATGACAGCATGAACTTCTTTGATTGTTGATGTAGTCCAACCATGACGTTCTTCATAATTCCTAAGATACCTTCCAACGTCTTCTCGAGTCAATGGTACAACAGTATTATGAATGTACTCTTTTGTTTCAATTGACAATGAGGTAATAGCTCCTAGCAACATTCTGGCTGACTGAGCATCAGACAACTCGCCCTTCAGGCGATAGAATTCACGAATTTGATTTTCAAATCTATCAACAAAGGCGGTAAGAGTTTCAGATTTAGAAATTTGAGAGGAATAGAGTGTACGAGTGACTGCTTCGAGTTTGTCTTCTGAAATTCGGTTGTGATACTCTTTCAGGTACGTCCAGCAGAGGAAAGGATCGTACACAATTTCTGATGGATCCGAAGGGTCGGTAAGTTTGTTTCGCGTTCTGACCTTATTGGCTGAGTCTAGTCGCTGTAGTATGTACGTAGTAAGATTGAAACGCGTCTTTTCAATCTCTTCAACAGACAGATTCTTGTTCTGGTAATCCTTCACCTTGACGTAGTGATGAAGTTCAAGTGAACGCAATACCTCCATTACAGACTGACTCCATTCAATATAGTTCCCATCAGTAAGATCCTCTGAGATTTTGTATTTACTCAGAGCATTAGTCATGATCTGGGAAAACTTTTGAATTGGATCTCCAAAAGTTCTGGAGTCGGTTATCTCTTGAGACATTGTTGACTCTAGATTTCAAGATAGTGAGTCAGATGTTAAAAGAGCTGATTGAGACGAGGATTGGCGAAGTGTTCCAGTTGAACCGGTAGGGCTTGAAGGAGCTGAGCCTTTGATATCGGTAGAGTTATCGAGTGAAATAGATTCGTCGTTCGAATTGACGGCGTCTGAACTCATACACGTGAATTTGTCGATAAGATCTTTGCACTCTCGCTACCATATAAAGAAATTCGTATAACGTTCTCAAAACACCAGACAGAGCTGGAGGAGACTATCAGAAGTGAAATCTACAGTATAGAAGGAAACCTGAGGGCACAAGCTCCGTGTTAGACTGTAGCTTCACTGCTAGTCTACGACGAGAACGAGAACTAACCTGAGGGCACAAGCTCCGCGTTAGACTGTAGCTTCACTGCTAGTCTACAACAAGAACGAGAACTAACCTGCGAGCTCGAAGAAAGTCGAGTTAAACACGCGTAGGTAAGAAAGTTAATAACAGACAAGTTAAGATTTTTATTGATTCTTTTCGACACAGAAACACACCTGAGGGCACAAGCTCCGCGTTAGACTGTAGCTTCACTGCTAGTCTACGACGAGAACGAGAACTAACCTAAACAATCAAAACAACACACAATAGAGTATAAGAAACTGAATTTAGAAAAGATGATAAAGAAAAAGTCTTCTACCTGCAAGCTCGAAGAAAGTCGAGTTAAACACGCGTAGGTAAGAAAGTTAATAACAGACAAGTTAAGATTTTTATCTTTTAGTTGAGAAGAAACAAAAATGTAGAGATTAGTTTAATATGAAGCGTAGTGAAATAAGTTGATAACTAGGAGAATGAGAACAAGAGTGAATTTTACTTACTGATTCTTTTCGACACAGAAAAGAATCAGAAGTGGGAGAAACGCGAACAATAAAAGTAGAAATCACAGCACGACCCAAATAATTTCATAACCCCCTTGCTTCAATTTCCCAACATCCCTCTTGTCACATCAGTACGACCGTTCCTTCTAATACATATGCATTAGTTTAACCACTCGCTAACCATCACTTAGACTAACCACTCGCTAACACTACATATCACCTCTTAACATCTCTCTGTGATGAATCTTTGACCAAAACGAAGATGAATATCTTAACAGTAAGTCGTCTGGTGAAGGGAAGAAACCTAGAACTTCGTGCCGTTTATTATGAATTGGAAGACCCAGGGCAGCTATTCCGGCGTTGACAATAAGACCGATCTTGTGACACATGCATTTGATGTGCATGGTCTCAGGATCCCATGAGTAATCTGAGCTATAGCCATCGTGTTCTTGAAGTTGATGATGCATCTCGGCTGCCAATGTCACGTTGTTTGACGCCGAGTCAGTCGTATGAGCTAGCATGTAATAGATCAATATATATCATGTCAGCAGAAGAAATGAGAAAGTAAGAAGAGAGAAGATTAGAAAAAATATAAAAGATAGAATAGATATAAAAGACTTATCTTCTTGTAGATACCATGTTTCTTCAGTACAGTCACCAAGGGCTCTGCAAGCCAAGCACCTTTATGATGATGAGCAACTTTTTTCCGGGTTAGATGGCAAGACACATAATTCCAGTCGTCGTCGATATAGCTAGCAACACCACCAATGAAAGCCCAAAGATTCCCTTTTACCGTCCAAACATCGTGTGTCAATGTGAATTTTCCTGGAATGGACTACATGAATATGAAATACAAAGAAGAGAAAGACAATTGTTATATATTTCAAAATAATGAGAGACCATAGGAGAACTACTCACTTCTAGCTCCCTGTAGACCGTGTCTCTTAGATTAAGATGGAGATTTTTTGCCTCCTTGGTGGTCCACTTACGGTTGTAAAGCCGGGCATCAGGTCGAGCATACCAGAAAGCTGCTTGAAGCATCGAGTCTTCTATTCAAGACCATGGCAGGGCTTGCCGTACCTGCCATAGTGTCAAGAGCTGATTGAAAACCTTCATATCGAACTTGGGAGTCACTGTGACAAAGTTATTCATTGTTGAAACTTTGTGGGTGTCTGCTTGTTTCTTGGCGTTGACCTCGGCAACACTCGGAGGAAGCTTGCACCCACGAGCAATGACTTCCTTGCGACGGGGGCAACCTACCTTTGATCTTCCTTGCTGATTGGAATCATCACGGTGAATCTTGAGATTCAATAGCGTGGTTGCATGTCCTCGGCAAGTTTTTCCACACCAAACACACTTATAGTCAAAAGGGAATTCTGGATCCTAGATTGAAACAAGAATCAAACAAACATCAGTCATCTAGGATTCATAAGGTAAAGATTGAAAAGGAAAACTAAGAAACGAGGATCAAGATAATACAAAAACATAATCAGGTGTTACATCTTCTGAACCAGGTGTTGGTTCCTCAAAGTATATCTCAATAGCATCATAGACTTCCTCCTTGCGTTCCGGGTTGGCTTCAGATTTCTTTGATTTTTTACGGATCCTAGCATTCTCATTGTCAGAGTCTTGGCGCAGGTCTCTGGAATGACCTTGGGTTGATACCGAGGGAGCGACACTCTAAAGAAATAAGAAACATAACTGTTTTAGAAAGAGAAATAGATAGATTAGCATTATGGAGATCAAGCACTTACTTGGTTTCGATTTGAATCTCCCGTAGCAGCGGTGGACGTAGACGCGGTGGGAACAGCCTACAAAAGACAGAAACAAACTAAAGTGAGAGATTTGAGATTGGGAAAGTGTTGTGGGATGAGAAACTTACTTTCTTTCCTTTCGATTGGGGAACAGAGGTCTTCTTCTTTTGTTCAATGCCACTGCGGTTGGATCTTGCAACTGGTTTGGAGACGATCTGACTAGCTGGTTTGGAGGCGATGTGACTGACTACGGTCTCGCATTCAGATCTAGAGGTCGATCGGCCTTGTTTGCGGCCAGTTGGATTGGCCGCAGAGCTTCCAGCCAACGGAGGAGGTTGCAAAGAAGGGAGAAAAAGTCCACGTCGACTGTCCTGAGACGGTTGAATCATACCTGGTGTCAATCGGAGAGGAGTGGTAACACGTGAGGTGCGACGAGGTTGTGAACAATCACTTTCACAACCAGAGTCTCCACACAGTTTGGAAAGGAGTTGATGAGAAGTTGAAGTGAAACTTGGAGAAACCAATTGATATATCTATGTATTGAAATCAGGTGATAAAACGATTTGAAACAGATATTAGAAACACATCATAACAAAGATCAGGAAGAGATGGTAGAGGTGAAGAAGACCCTTACGTTCTGGTTATTGAAGGGATATCAGGAAATAAAATGAAAGGATTCGAAATTATTAGAATCCAAACATAACAAAGATAAGGAGGAAAGGATTGAAAACAAGGGTACACTTACATCAGTGGGGCTGAAAACATTTGACTCTTTCAAGATCGACCATCCGTTGGTGTTGAGGGTTGCGGTCCGTCGAGTGAGTTGATGATGCAACCAGTTGGTCACATCATCATCGTACATGATTGGTGGTGAGCTGACCTATTGGTTGCATCAGCTTGGACAATCGCCGATAACGGAAATTCTTCAGGAATCCTCATGTAACGTGCCGAAATATGAAACCAAGGCTGTCACAAGAATGCCAACGTAATTTCACAAAAAAAAAACCCGTGACATAGCTTGCTAACGTACCTGTAAGTACGTTAGCAAAAACGGCCCCGACCAATATCGTAACCCAGTTATGGTACAACACGTTACACATTGAAAATAACGTAACCGGTCCAACGTTGTTGAGAGTAAAAGTACAAGTGAGGTGAAGGACCTTGAGAATACAAAAGAAAAGAAGAAATTGGGGGAGGTTGAGAATACAAAGAAGGTGGAGGAGGTTGACAGTACAAATTAGTTTGTGAGTATGGTCCAGCAGCAGGTTGAGAATACGACGACAATGAGGCAGAATGTGGTAACAATGTTCCAGGTGGTGGTGGTGCACCTGATATATCTTGCCTAGCGGAGGGAGGGTATGGTAATCACGGGGTAGGAAAGCAAGTGTCAAGATGTGATGGTATGATTCCGCTCGGAGTTGGACTTGGATGTGGATGGATCATGTGGTTTGTTTGAATAAAATGAGAATTTGGATGTACATGTACATGTACAGCTTCGGATGTCACCGGCTGTTGTGGGGGAACGGGGTTTGGGTGGTCCATACTGTACACTATATCAAGTGTTAAAGTGGGAAAGATCGTGTGTTCAAGTGAATGGATTCTGTGTTGAGAGTGGGATGGTTGATTTGAACAGGTATGTATGAACTGAGTTATTACGGGGTTCAGTGATTTAAAGTTGGGATTAAGTGATAGAAGTAAGAAAATCAGACAAGGAAATTGAGGAAGAAAATCGGACAAGGAAAGTATTGTGAGGGAGAGGGGAGGAACTTCTATATGAAGCGTATTGCTGAAGGGCCAGTGATGTTTGACATGCAGGGGTCGGTCCAGCGCCAAACAATTTGGGAGCCCTTGCAGTTGTTTTCTTCATATTTGTTGCCCCATCAATGGTGAAGGGGCTCCAAAGAAGTTAATTGACGTTCCAAAAGGGGCTCATTCGTGTTTTGGTGCCCGGTTAGGGAGCCCTTGATAAGCCCACCTACCTTGTCCATAACGGTATTAATCTTGTGTCAAGCAATACCATTCTCAGCCAAGTAATCAATCAAACCCTCCACAGTGGTTTTCTTGACAATATTTCTGTCCTTGTATTGAGCCCAATTACTGTAAGTTGTGACCCACTTCAAAAGCAGACTCATTGCACTTTCACCTTGATCATTCTTGTCATCTTCCCACCTCACTGGTGCCTTTCAAAATGAAGTAGGTTCCATGGTCTCATTTGTTGGACTGAAACCAAACAGAAACAATCTTAGTATAAGATGAAAGAGAAAACAAAGTCCGACAGAATCTTATAATAAGATTGAATGGATACAGTCAGATCTAAAAAGCTTTCATTACCTGAAACCAAACAGAAACAATCTTAGTATAAGATGAAAGAGAAAACAAAGTCCGACAGAATCTTATAATAAGATTGAATGGATACAGTCAGATGAGAAAGAAAAGAAAAACTACAAATGACTGCAAAGAGGTTCAGGTTATAAAGCAAAGAAGAAACTACAAATGAAATAAAATGATGTCATGATACAAATTTGGAAATGAATATGACATCATGAAATAATGAAAGAAAAGAAATGAAATAATAAAAATGTATTTGTAATAAATGTATTTTATCAGAAATGACTTTTGATAGCATAAAAAGAAAAACACGAAAACAAAGAACTCCAACATCATTGGAAGGTTCTTCAACAACAGTAAGCTTAGTACATTTATTTTATTTCCAGTCAAAAGTGTTTTTGGTTTTGGTATCTTGCTTGTTGTTGCTTTTTGAGTAGATGATGACTGAGGCTTCTTTTTTTGTTTACTCTTGGCAGTGGGCTTTGATTTCTTTTGAATAGATATGTTGGATGTTTGGGACACAGAGGCCATCAAAGCAAACAAAGATCCAAAGCCAGCCAGTTGCAAGAGAGGTGCGGGATAAATTCCTCAGGTGAAATTGGGGGACACCGGGTTGATTTGGAGAGCCTGAAGGGTGGAAGGATAAACTTGAAAGGTTAAGGGGGTTAGGAATGGAGTTGAAGTTTTTTGAGGGGAACTTGGTTGGCTGGTGGTGGGTGTGCCTTTGGTAGATTTAACTATGAGAGCGGATGCAGAGTTTGATTGGGAAGTGGGGCTGCAGGGAAGTGAGGCTGCAGAAGCTGCAGAGGGATTTTTTTTGGCTACAGAACGACAGAAACAAAATTCAGGTATCTGGGGTTCTGTGTGACCTTCTGGCAAACTGTCTGAAAATTGACAGATTTGATATTTGTACACCATAAATATCAACTGGCTACCTTGAAAGTGTAGAAAATGCAAAAACTATGAGTATTGGAGTCAGTTTCCTAATATTCAAAGGGTTGGAGTCAAGAATGAAGATTTAGAAGGCACTGACTTGACCTGATGAAGGGGTTATAAGATCAATGAGACTTTCTGCCTGTGATGATTTTGGAATAGTTAGTCAACAGGACCAAAATTTTTTCTTGACTGACTATTTTGATGGATGTGAGTTTGGTGTGATTGATCTGAGATTTCAGATAGCAGTCAATTGTTGGTTTGTTTGAGCTGAACCAAGTTTTGATGGTTTAGGCAGTTGAACTTGAACTTTGGCTGAATATATATATCACAAACAGAACAACAGAAAGAAAATTCTGGTATCTGTTGTTCTGTGAAACCTTCTGACAAACTCTCTGAGAATTGATATTTGTACACCTTGATTGTAAATCTTTCTACATGGATAAATAAGGTTTCCAGATTTTTTCAAAGATAGTAGAGATTATGAGACTTTGAAGGTGTGCATCAATAATCAAGCATTTTCTTGGAGAAATTGGAAACTCACCACTACAGCTCTGTACAGGGGTGTAGATATGTGGGATACAAAGTAGAAGCCGGGCATGTGCCCGGAATTATTTTGGCAGTAAATTTTGATTTTCTGGGCAAAAGTCCGGGCCCAGAATTCAAATTTACTGCCAAAAAAAACTGGGCACAAAGCCGGGCACGTGCCCGGCTCTACTTTGTATCCTGTAATAGTACCATTGGGATCTGCCAGAAATTGTGCATTTTTTTATGTGGAGAAACAAAGTTTCCAGAGAAAAGGAAGCTTTTCTGAAGTTGCCATGCAGTTTCTCGGAAATTTACCTGAAGTTTCTCTGAAGTTTTCATGAAGTCCCCATGAAGTTGTGGTAGTCTCTGGCCTGCCAGAGCCTAGCTAGTAGTAGATGGGGGCTGTGATCATTCCTTTGGTTGGCCAACTTGTGGTTGTACTCACTGCAGAACTGATGGAGTATTTGTTTCAATACTTGGTTAGCGCCACACTATTTGGATTTGTGGTATTTTCCATTGTTGCCAGGAGGGTTTTTACTTGTAACCTTTGCCGTGCAAGTGAGACTGGGCTATCTTTTGAAAAGGAACTCTATGTTGAGTATGATTCTTAGTTTTTGATGGTTGCCTTTGATACTAGGCGCAAGGTTTCTTTTATTTAAACAATGTTTAGTATTTGGATTTTTTGAATGATAATGTTCATTGCTGTCTTTGAAACTAGACACAAGTTGTATCAGAATTTAGAAATATATTTTATGTTTTTATAGTTAGCCTCTTAAACTTTGGCTTTGGTTAGTCTATGCTCGGAGGCTGACAGATATGAAAGTTTGCTTATCACTTTGATGCGTTCAATAAGTCAAATTACCAATTGGAAGTAACCTGGCACGGTTTTGCAATAGCTTTCCATGGTGAGGGTGCATGAGGAATCAGGATGAATGAGCGTTACTCGAAAGTTGAAAACACGTACAGGCTTTTCGTTTCGGGTTTCGGGGTTTGCCCTCCACCCTCTTCTCTCGTCCATCGTGTTGTAGAGGTGAGGTCAGTTGAGATTGAAACTGTATTTTTATTTTAACCTGATTGAGTACATACTGCATTGTTGAGTTCTTCCCTTTCTCAACAATTCTCAAACTACAACAACCACTGCTCCTCTCAACCTCGACCAACCTCACAATCGACGAACCAACCTCAACTTAACTCGACTCAATCCACCTTTTCAAATTCCAGTCTCACTTTCGAACCTTTCATTCATCGACTTATCCCATAAATCATCTGAGATGGCTACAAGTTCAGCTGGTGGCCTATCCCGTCGTCGTGTAGGTGGAGTTGCATCTGCTAGTTCACCTGCTACCAGTGGTCGTGCTGGCTCGCCTGATTCGAATTCTACACCTAACACTATCAATAATGAGCTGAGCTCTACCATCAAAGGATCTAACCCTTCTCAAAGACCTGAGCACCTCAATCGAACCAACTCATCCGCAAATCCCGGTGATAATTCAACTAGTAATCATAAAATAGCTTATGATCCCCGAGACTTGGATGAATCACAAGAAAACTCATTAAATCCTAAATTAACTGTCATGGAAGAAATCATTTTACTGGGACTTAAAGACAAACAAGGTTATTTATCATTTTGGAACGATAATATCTCTTACACACTTAGAGGTTGTATAATTCTTGAATTGGCCTTAAGACATCGGATTGCTATGGTTCGAGATCCGAATCGAAGGAGGTTTCCATTACCTGATCGTTATATCGAGGTGATCGATGATAGACTGACAGGTGAAGTCTTATTAGATGAAGCTTTGAAAATGATGAAAGTCAGCGAAAAGATGAGCGTAGGAACTTGGATTGACCTCATGTCTGGTGAGCCTTCGTATTCTCAAACGAAAGCACCAAGAGGCCAGATCATACTGACTATTCAGTGTAAAAACAATTTTCACGGACAAAAAACGGTTTCACTCGAATATAGGTGAGACTTGGAATGTGATGAAGATTGGTTATCAACTTAAACAAGTTCGTGAACGACTTGCAAAGGGACTAGTGGATAAAGGAGTACTTAGGACCGAGAAACGTAACTTTTTACTCTTCGATATGGCCACTCATCCGATCTCCGATTCAACCTTCAAAGACGATGTCTTACGTCGTACCCTATCAATTCTCACTTCTCGCACGGTTGCGATTCCTAGTACGGATCTTTATTCATCTGATGTACGTTATAGGACTTTAAGAGCAGTTTGTATGGTTTGTGCGGCTTTTGCTGCTAACGTACTCGAAAACGCACTGGTCCACCTCTCTTACGATGCACGCGAGGCCGCATTTCAAAAATGTGATGAATTATTAGCCGAGTTCTCACAGTGGCCTTTCGGATCTACCCCAGCTCATGCTCGTACACCTGGAGGAAGTGTTGGAGTTGGGACTGGTGGAACAGATGTGACAAATGCAAACTTGGTGGAGATTGGTAGACTAAGTCGAGCAGAGATGGTACCAGGCGATGAACTTCAACTTGAGGTAGTCTCAGCTGTCTTACATGTGTTTAGTAAGATGTTAGTGTTTTTTATCTTCTCTTCTTTCTTTTTAAACCTATCAATTCAAGGTACTGACTTTGAATCTTCAGGGACTCTTTATTATGAGAAATACGTATTGATGATCGGTGACCTTTACTCCAACCTTTTTCTCAATTTCCTTCGACATTCTCTTCCTTAATCCTTCTAAGCCTTTTTGCAATTTCAACGCACCCATCATCAATTTTTCCGTATGTGATTAGCTTTTGATTCAAATCGATTTCATTTTACATTTGATTACATCCTCGAATCAACTCAATCGATTTTTAGGCTCTTGCCTTTCTTTTGGTTGATCATCAAAATTCATGTTCTATCTCTACCGTTTCTTTTTTGATGATCAAGGTTCACTTTCATGTCTTTTATGTTTGCCTTTTAGGTGCTTTTTGTGTGAGTTTTGAATGAAGATTTTGAAAAGAAGAATCACCTTCCAAAGACAAAAGACTTTACTCTTCTCTAGTTTTTTTCCGTTTGTTTGCCTGTATGTTATTCTTTTATGCTTTTTTGGGGTTCAGTTTGGAGTGATAAGTTTCACGATCTTTTGATTTTTACAAGATAGATTGGGGTATTTCTTACTGGTTATTAATACTATGCTTTTTTTGGTGAATGCTGAAAAGGTTGTGAGTATAGCTATAGATCAAATGAATGTTTTATTTACAAATACCAGTCTCAAGAGTCAAGACTTGACACACCTAGTCCATAATGGGCCTGGTCAACCCAACTTCAAGCAGGTAAACTTCTCAGTCATGACTATTCTTTGACAACTACTGTATAGACAGATCTCTGTATATTAAAACAGTCTCCATTTAACTTCAGTGAACAAGATAAATGATGAATGCAGACTGTTTGCATTATAGGACTGTTTCTTCTTATTTGTTCAAGTCTTATCTTGGCAGATGTTTCCCACCCCACCCTGCTCTCATGGAAGATTTCAACACTTGGTTCTCTGTATTAGATACAATACAGCTCAGAGTCCAATCAACAAGAAAGACATCATCACACTGGCTGACGCCCACCATGGTTGTAAGAAGGTTGGCAAGGGCATCTTTAACACGGAGATTTTTTTTCTTCTTTTCTTTCAAGCAGTGCTGGCCCAGCCAGCTGGGTATATGAGTTCTGTGCTCTGATCTGGACGTACCTGAGGACCCTGAATATGGAACAAGACCTGTCAAATCAGTGTGATCTGCATTGTCCAGCAATGGGCAATTGTCAATGCTCTTGTCTCAATGCACGTCAACAAAACATCTGTCAATGATATCTTACTACTTGAACAAACTTACAATCATCATGTAATTCATGAGTGTGAAGACAAGTACAATCAAGAGTTGAAGGAGGAAGAGAGAGCAACACTTTTGATTTGTTGAGTAAGGAAGAGTCTCTGAGTCTCAGCCTCTGGCATAGCATGCCATCTTTGGAAGGCAGCCCTGGACTCAGGATCTTCAATGGGGTTGGTAAGCTGAGGCTTGACATTCAGATCCTTGGGGATTAGACTTGACAATTCCAGTGTTGTACAAGTCTTGTATTGGTTGAGAGAAGCATCCCTTTCCCTTGTTGACTAAGGATGATGTCCTCTTTCAAGGAGCATCTGGGAAAGAATTGGCCAGAGTTTGCACAATAGGGCCTTCCAAAGGTGATTTGGGGTTCTTGTACGTGGTTGGAAATTCAATGGCTTTGGGATGGTTTTCTCCAAAGCTGTCAATGTCAAGGTGATATTGAACACACAGAGGGGTAGTGAGAAGTTGAGGGTTTTGGCCATCCTTCAAGGTTTGGAGGTAAATTTCTTGATAACCGTTGAGTGCCACAATTTGTTCTTCTCTCCATAATTTGGTGGTCTTGTTGCATTGATTGAAGTATACTTGAGGCAACTTCACTGCATCCACTGGATACATTCTTGATGTCAAGAATGGTACAGTTGTTTTCAAAAAGCTTGCCGCTAATTCACCGCCAAATTGCTCGAGTTTTGCGGGCAAATTTCGGCAAGCTTTTTGAAAACGACTGTAAATCATGCCAGTTTGTCTCAACTCTGTCCCAAATTTACTTGAAGTTTGTTCCACCTGCTGAGTATCTACTCAATGAAGGCTGAGAGATGGAACTGTTACGGTCGAACCGGAAAAGGTTGCCACAACAGCGATTTTGAAAACTTGAGGAGGACCGTGCGCCCTGTCACCGGGAGCAGATCCTGAGAGCCGGGTCGCCGTACCGGACACCTCCAGGAAAGATCTTGAGAAATTCATTTATGCACATTCTGCATGCAGATAGTTATCGAGGAACCAATGAAGGCCGAAGGATACGATTTCAAACCACACCTTTACGTCCGAATCATCAGGCTCGATGGGGGTCCATCGCTCCCCCCAGAACGACTTTCTTCCCCTCAGGTCATCAAAAAATATCTTTGTCGCCAATTGTCTTCGTCCTACCGTTTTCACTCAGCCACATCATCGCTTTGCCAATCTCACTTTATTTGATCTATTCAAACAAAACATCGCCACTATGTCAGCTCAACAGACTTCTTTCATCGCTAAAAACACCCAGAACTCATCTGAAAATGAGCACAACGGTCCGTTGTTGAGGTGAGGAGGTATTTGACCCATTGAATTGTCCAATAATCAATCTGACTGTCTCGCTGTCTTGTAGTTTTGCCAATCAACGTAGCGAGCATGGAAACACTGGCTACATGAACTATGGATTAGGCCACCAAGCTCCCCCGGTGATGACTCAATCGACTTACAGTGAAGTTTTGAAGTCGTGAGTGTGGGTTCCGGAGGATGTGTTGATAGAGACAATTACTAAGCGACAGCATTGATCTTTATAGGCCGTTCGTTCACCCTGGCGTACACGGCATCTCTAGCAATCGAACGATGTCTAACTTGGCCACCAACGCCCCGAGTTGGAATCCGATCAATGCAAGTGGCGTGGTCCCCGGCCCTGGCAACGATGATTTGCCTGTTCTGGACTTCGAGGGTAGTGAAGACCTAGATGATTTCACCTCGACCCAAGTCAATGAACTCGACTGGACTCCGCCTTTCAATAACTGCTCAGTAAGGCTTTTCAAAGCAACAATGCGTTCAGAAGTCGCGACGTCCACCCGCTCCTATGACCATCCAAACACGAGTCAGTTAGGCACCTTTGCGTCAACCGAACCGGATGAAAATCAGCCCGAGGTTCCAAGCAAAGGCAAAGGTGAGTTTCCAAAGTTTAACATGTATGGTTGATACATTTGAACTGACATGGGTCTTGAACTACAGGCCCGTTGGTGGAAGTGAATGTGATGGGATCATATAACGTCAAGCTCACCTATCTGATGTACACCCAAAAGGGTGTGAATCCCCTGAAGATGTCGGTTCAAAAGTTGAACAAAGGGGTTGGCAAATGGATCGCCTATCGAATTGATCCGACGACTAAGATCATCGACATTGACGACAACTCCTTTATCGCTCTCAAGAACATCCTGTTTACTGCTGCCGATTCCATTGATCAAGACGCTCCGGCCGGTGGCAACAGTGCCATCTTCAAATTGGCCGACGCTAGTGGATCCGTCACCATCACGGTGTATATCGATTGACATGAATACTTCAGTTGAAGTAAGGGCCGGAAGCTTACTGGGGACAATGATGTCCAAGCTTTCTTCACTGCGGTTCAGCTGGCGCCATTGAAAGAGGCGGGCATTTCGATTTTGATGGCAGATCCGGCCAAGTCTGCCAAAGCGGCTGACGCGGTATGTCCTCAACCATGGGTCCCATTTCCACACCCGTATGCTGACATGATCTCGCTGTGTAGAAAATCGACATGGCTCAGACTCGACTCAAGGCCATGAATGCCATGAATAACGTCACGGTATCGGATTCTCAACTGACGGATTCACTGCCTCATGACCCTCTTCAACTCAAGCTCGAAGCGTTAATCAAGAAATATGGAAGCCTTGAAAACAATAGCCGCGAGGGTTGGCGAGTGTATAAGCCACACGAGGCTTCAAAGTATATGCAGATGAACTACGAGCACCTTCATAAGTGGGCGCAGGAATTGGTAGGCTGCCTTGGTTCTCAGTGCTAACACGGAATGACGAACTGACGTGCTATCTGTTCAGGCTGAATGTCAAGCAGGTGTCAATTTAGAGAACCCACCAATGTATCTTGAAGGCTTCAAGTGGACCGATGTCAAGCGTCCGTTGTCGACTGCCGCACCACAACACTCAGCCAAAAAGAACAAATGTTCCAGTGACGCGGGTCCGCCTCACGCGCCTGGAGGCTACTCCGAGTTGCAGGGTTATCACATTGCGGTGAATCGTGAAGAGCTGGAAGAGCTTAAGAAGCACTGCAATTTGGAAGAGTTTCTCAACTACGCAGGGATACCTCCTTTTTTTGTCCGGGAATTGGCCAAAATCTTATGGGACCATCACATAGACAGCTTCGACCAATTCCTTTTCCCTGATATCATGAACATTCGTGACGTCTTGGGGCTCGGCATTTCATGGGGTATGGTGATGAAGTTATTCGCGCAAAGTCGTTTGTTTTATAAACAACTCAAGAAGGAGATAATCACCTGCGATCAAATCAGCGCTCGAGAAGGACCTTACAATTTCCCTAAGAGTACTGTAGCCCCCGGAGCAAGCGGGAGTGTGCACAGTTCCGCTCAAGCCGGTCCTAGTCGATTGCCCTACACTCCTGCTCAAGGAGGTTCGAACCAATCTTCCAATCTTTAAGTCTTATGTAGCGTTGGAGACATGTGTGCCTTACCACGTTATTGAGCATCTTTTGCACTCATCAGTCCAAATGTGTGGTGATCTACTTTGTTTCCTATGTCTTGAATAAGTGTGTTTTCTTGGATCGTTATGTCCTCAAATGTGTGCTTTTTCCTGTGCAAACTTGTGGTTTGTTACGATTGTTGTCGTTGTATAGGCAATATATGCCTTGAAATTGATTCATAGCTGATTTTGCCAACATAACTTCATATGAGTGTTTCGATCTCATGCCCCTCCGTGACATCATCGTGTTTGCCAGGCCTTTTATGATTTGTATGCATGAAGCCATTGGTCTCTATCGAATCTACTCATAGGATGAGTTGATGCCCAATGTCTCCTTTCGGAATCAGACGATTCCGAAGGGTTGAGTGAACTTTTTGGGCACTCAACCGGGGGGCAGCGTTGGTTTTTGTAACTTTCTCTCTGTTCTCATTTCTCGAGGTTGATGTGTGACACTTTTGGAAAAGTCTACGCCTTTGTTTTCATTGCCAATGACTCACGGTAAGACTGAAACTTTAAAAACAAAGACCATTTGACATTGAAAAGTCATCTTCAAGGCATAACCCAACGATAACCACGGGTGAAAACAACATATTGCGAGCGCCACTACAAGCGAGAGAGCCATACCAAACAAAAAGGAAAACATCAAGGCACAAAGCCAAATATAAATCTTGAGGGTGAACAGAACATTTGAACAGCTAAGACTAAATTAAAACAAAATTAATCATTGAACCGAGCATTATAGTGCTCCCAATAATGTTCGGTGGTATACCCACTGTTGACCATCAACGGTTGCATGAGTTGGCGTGTCATAACTCGACCCGCTAAACGTATCATATAAGTGGCTTTATCTTCGACCATATGCCATACCTTTTCTCTTTGGAGCCGCTTCTTCATGGCTGCAAAAGCCTTATCAATTGGATTTGAATCAGGAGAATAGGCCGGAAGGTATACCAAAAAGGATCCCTTTTTCTTGACAAATTCGTTCTATATCACCACCGTGATGAATCTTAGCATTATCAAGCACCAGAACCGAGTTCAAAGCGGGGTATGCGTTCATCACAGGTAGCTAACCACAACACCAAAATCAGCAATTAAAACAAATGTAAAAGGAGAAGATCAGGAATAAGAGACGTACCAAATGATGTTTGAGGAACATTTCCACATGAATTCGTTCCACTGACCCCTTGACCACAACTCCCGCAATCATTCCTTGTTCGCCAACGGCAGGCAAGATCGTCCAATGGTCAGCATCGCCATAGCGTTTCGTTCGGACGGTCCTGGTGCCTCGGGGCGCCCATGAGCGTGGTCGCATCGCGTCTCGGCCAACAACCCCAGACTTGTCTGGAAAAGAACCATACCTCATCAGCCTCTCGGTCTCACACTATATTTGTATCAAAGTTAAACACTTACCAATGAAAACAAAACATTCAGGAGGAATTCCTGCGACATTCCTAATGAAATTGGCCCGGTCTCGAATTGATTGTTTGTGATGAACCCCGCGAGTGACCAGCAAAGACAGGCCAAGTCTTTTGTGCAGTTCCACTCCAATAGTAGTTTTAGACACCTTTAAACCAGTCACTAGTTCCAATTGAGCTTGAACTTCATCTAAGTACATATCTGGGTTCTTGAGGACGATATCTCGCAATACACCAAGTTGATCATCAGACAGAAGGTGGGGACGGCCACGGATTTGATAGTCGGCAGGATCTCGAACGACGTTGTTGGTGGTCTGGTAAAGCTCTTTCCAGCGGGCAATTGAACGGGACGATATGGTGTGACGAAGAGATTCATTGATCTTGGCGACGGAATGGTTCTCAAGTGACATTCTAGTTGCGACGAGCTTGAGGTCGGCGGAATATTTACGAAATCCCATTGAGAGATAATGGATGACACTGAAGAACAATGGATTTGGATGACGAAAAAGAAAGAAATCAAAAGGCTGGACTGGGGGAAGAAAGACCAGTGGAGGGAATCGATAGACCCTATCGAGCCTAACGGGGTAGAGATTCTTCATGGTTCCTTGAAAAATATCTGCATGCAGACGGTGCATAAATTACGCAGATGCTTGCCTTGAGATCTTTCCTGGAGGTGTCCGGTACGGCGACCCGGCTCTCAGGATCTGCTCCCGGTGACAGGGCGCACGGTCCTCCTCAAGTTTTCAAAATCGCCGTTGTGGCAACCTTTTCCGGTTCGACTGTACCTTGATTGAGCCAGATTTCCTGAGCCTCAGAAAAGTTCGCTGCAGAGGAGAACAAACTCCCGCAGCTTCAACAAGGCTCACAAAGTAGGGCCTATGCTTCACCCGCATCACCGGAGCACACAAACACCCCAGATTCTATCAGGGGTAACAAACGGTCCACCAAGGGTGCCGCTTGTAATCCTTGTTCACGACCTCACCATGAGAATGACCCGCATTTGAATGCTCCCACTGTGATGAACAGAAAAAAACACCCTTGAAAACCACATCACCTCCTCACAGTGTGGCTGCATCTCAACAAGGACATGCATCTGCTAAATGAGTCATTGACTATGTTGGATAATGGGCAAGATGTTTGGCCTAACATTGATTTTGAAAAATTGTAAATGTTCTTTTTACTCAACAAACCTTATGCTTTTCATTTTTAAAATTTATTTACCACCTCTCTCAACCATCACATCACATCTCAACCTTTTTTAACACCTTTCTTTTTGTCCATTCTTAGCTCCCAATGACTTTTCGGGAGGTCGCAACTGACATGTGAGAGATGTTACAACTTACCGCACCCTTTTTCCAGAATTATGTTTCACCTTTGGTTATTTCGGCTGCCCCTATTGAGCCCCCTTCTATTCCTGCTGTGACTTTTAAAGGTGAACCTTGCAAGGTTGTTGGATTTATGACTAAGTTTAGGGATTACTTAGTGTCTACGGCTTCACGCTTCTTTAATCAGGATTGGAAGATTACTTGGGTGGCTCGTCATTTCCCACTGGCCTCCAGTTCCCATGATTAGTTTACTTTGTCTTAATGATCGCAAGTTAATGAAACACGTGATCACTTTTCGGCGGTATCTCCTCCTTTCGAAATCGATGAATTAAAATCTTTGACATCCTTCTTCAAGGCTATTTTTGATAAATTCGGTGACCAATTTGCGGAAGACGCGTTGTTTGTCAAACTTCAAAACTTTCGTCAAGGCAAGACTCCTGGTGGTTAATATATATCAAAATTCAATGCAATAGCGTTTCAACTCCAAATGTCTGAGATTGTATTGATAGACATGCTTGAGCAGTCGTGGTTTGAGAAACAATCTTTGCGAGCATGCTTTACATCTTCCGAATTCGAATCGTCTTCTTGCAGAAGCTCGTCAAGAGGTTGCATTGTTGGAATCCGAGCAATTGCATGATATTGGGGTTCATCGTGTGAATTATGGATCTTCTCAGCCTATACAAAAGGCTTCATCTTCTCCTGCTGTGGTTAATATCCCTCCCGATCCTAATGCCATGGATATTGACATTCATGCTATAAATTCAAAGAAGCCCTTTCCTTTACCTCCCGGCATCACTTGGAGACATCATGTCCAGGTCATGAACTTCTGGCCAGCTGAGACTATATATAGATCAATTGATATACATAGATTGTCCGTGCTGTTACATACCTTTTCTGTTCTCGTCATGATCTCATCATGACGAGATCGGAACTTATTTTTTGACCAATGCTTTCGGTCGTGGTTCACTTTCAGTGCAAGAAATCAAGATGAGGGTGGTGAATACAGTCAAACCCCTCTAAAGCAGTACCCCTCTAAAGCCTTAACCCGTCTATAGTGATGGTTTTTTGGTTCTCCCAAGTTGGGAGGGGCCAAAATGTGTGAAAAACCCATAGTTCTGTCTAACCCCTTAACCCATACCCAGAATCCAAAAAAAAATCAATCTTTTTAATGTAAAGCCATAGAAAAATGGCTAATAGGGAGGTAGGAAAGGGGATACCTCCAACAGGTTCTGAAGCTTTGAAGGCAGTATCTTTGCTTACACAATTCATTGAAAGTACTGATATGCCCAAAGCAACAGCTGTTGACCCCCTTCTCCCTGCTCTTGAAAGCGCATTGACCAGCAAGACCTATTTTGCCAACAAAATTCAGCCCTCCATCACTTTCTCCTTTAGTAGAAATTAAACAAATCTTGTGATGTAGTTACAATTTTAAATGTATTATTCTCACAAAAAATTAACACAGCAGATACTGAAATATTTGATAGCAAGTTAGACTTTTTCAACAACAAGACCCGTATAATGTCCTATTTTGTATGGCTGTAGGGGGACCACCCTCTAAAGCCATGTTTCCATGTCTTTAGAGGGATATGTTCTATGGTTGTGGAATGTCCACCCTCTAAAGCCATGGTTTTTATAAATTTAGAGGGTTTTCAATGTAAAGCCATGGATGTATGTCTATAGAGGGGTTCCTCAACAAAGACATGTCCCCTCTATACCCATAGGTTTCCCCGTCTCCCAAAGGGTATGGCTTTAGAGGGGTTTGACTGTAGTGGTGAATACCAAAAGGATGTTCAAATTTATGGTTCAATCCGAAAATGAATGACAGTGCCTCGAATATATTGTAGCACTATAAATATCACTGAATTTGACAGATGTGATCTCTCGGTCAAAACATATATTTTGCTTTCAGTCCTGCCTTTCGCTGCCTTTCCTCAAGAATAATTCACTATCGTCTTCTATTTCTATAATCTCAAATCACATCGTTCACAAAAAAACATGAAGTCAAGCATCCCATCGCTCTTTTCTTTGCTCGTCTGTCTCCCACTTTTTGTGGTCTCGGGCGACTTCAAGTGCGCCAGGGCGGCACTAAAGGGAGTTTGTTCGGATGATCAATTCACTGAGGCTACTGACCACATGCCAGCCACGGGTTAGTTTTTATATGTTCATTGAAAGCCGTCTTCCTACGAAGCACTCGAATAATCTGTCCTCCTTTGTGTCCTGTTCATAGGATATTCCCGAAAAGCAGTCATCACCTCCGCGGAGGGTGCCCCCTTCGTCACGTACACCTGCGATGAAGGCTGTGACAGCACTTCAAGAATGCCTGTAAGACATTGCTGTCGAATCGTCCAGACGGATATTCAGTTTGTGAGCGCGCTCTCCTCTAAATATATTTGACCAGTTGGATTTCTTTGCTTTTTGTACTAAAAAAATGCGGTTTATGTAGACCGGCTGTGAGGGACCTATTCCGATTGTCAACGGCGCCTGATGCTTTTCTCTTAAGTTTTAAAGCTCGATCTCAAACATCATGGCTCGAATTTGAACACCTAAACAGCCTCATCAGATCTCTGACATGTAGACATGTTAAGCCATGATTCGGAATGTTGATTATAGTTGTGATGCATGCCTTTATATGTACTTCCTTACTGCGTGTTCTAATTTCATATACGAGCACATGCTATCTGTCTCTTTGAAACCGATGAGTTCTTCATAAACTCGAAATAATAATGATCACATGCGGCACCATACCGAGGACAGTCGTTTTGTATGTGACCATCACTGCATTGACGCCGGAGTAGCCAGAGCCAAGCCCCATGCGCGGAAACACCTTTAAGAACTTCTATTGCGCAAGGGAAGAGGCTGAGCTAACACCAACACGTTTCAGTCTTCACTCTGAGTTCTTATTGTAAATACTGAGTTGTAAATTGCGGGTCAGATGACAACATGGTTGAAACCCATGTTTTTGTCGCAGCAGATCTGGACTTTGACCACGGGCTGATATGTACTTGACTGTGACCAGGAAGCAGAGGCTGATGCTTATTAAAGAGGTAAACAGAGCTAACCTGAACAAATCCAAACAAAGATACAAATGTGCTGTCAGCTGACTAGATGGAAAACCGCCACTTGAGCAGACCAACCATGGATTGTGGACGATAGAAGCAGCTTGAAGACTTGCTTGCTGTCTATTTTCAGATCCAGGGAAGAGAAAGACACGAAAGGTAACGGTAAAGAGTTGATGACGATTGGTTTTGAGTCAGTGTGTTAAAAACCATTCAACATGAATCTTGGTATATACAGAATGTCGCATACATTTCCAGACGTGGCTGTAAGGCTGTTCAACTCGCTTTACCCTCGCATCGTTGATTTTCATTTCCTCTTTAGAAACACAAGCGGGGCGATACCCATATCAGAGGGTGCAAAACATTCTGGACTTGGTGATGATGGTCGAGATCGAAAACCGCTGGGGTGTCCTTTCCTTCTTTTACATATCTACACCAGAAGAGTAACTTGTGGCACGCCCTTAAAAGGGTCTCGGGGGATGGCGTGGAATGGGTGATGGAAGAAGGGAATCAAATGAATGGTAAGGGGATCCGGATCTCCATGGCATGGTTCTGAATTCTGTTTATCGCAATCGGATCGATGTTGGATCTGATCCTGATTTTTCTTCCCATCGAGTCGCGACTCGCAGGCTGAGGCAGGGAGAGCTCTGTCAAATACGTCGAGTATATCTTGCATGCACCAACCCCGGATCACTAAGTCGATTTGTTTGATTCTCCCTTGCTTCATCAAATCTCGAAATAATATCAACTTTCAAAAACCACATCAATCCTTCCGAAAGTATCAACAAATGGCTACTCTCAAACGTCTTGCAGCAGAGACATTAGTCAGTCCAGGGAAGAAGAAGATTGCAAAGTTGGAAAAAAATGACCCGAAGAGAACCATCGACGAAGAAACACCGTATCAAGAACTACTCCAATTATTAGAAACCCACAAGAGTTCAAAACTTCATGAAGATCTAAAAGCGAAGAATGACAAAAAACCGATTGTAGTATACTGGATGCGAATGCGAGACTTGAGACTTGCAGATAATCGAGCTTTATCAGCTGCTTCTCAAGTCGCACAAACACTTCAAGCTCATTTGATAGTACTGCATATCTTTTCACCTGGAGATTATCACGCTCATGATCGATCAGCTAGAAGAATTGATTTCGTACTACGTAATTTAATTGATCTTCGTCTTCGTCTTCGTGAATTGAATATTCCACTTTATACAATTTCGATTGAGAAACGTAAAACAATTCCGAAGCGAGTGGTAGAATTGTTGAATGCTTGGGAAGTTACTCGAATCTTTGCTAATATCGAACATGAGGTTCATCATTTCCTGTCTACTCTCGAAACAAGTCCCATCAGACGCGACTAACTGACCGCGTTAACTTCTTCTTTGATTATCACATCACAACTTTTTATGCTTACTATTAGGTCGATGAGCTTCGTCGGGATATCGAACTAATCAACCTATGCCATCCTCAAGGAATAAAAGTTGACCTTTCCCACGATACATGTCTAGTCGAACCTGGCAAAGTGCTCACGAAAGAAAACAAACCTTACTCAGTCTTTAGCCCAGTACGTACCTTGATGGGTTTTCTCCTCCAAAATTCTTTGTAGTTCAAATATTGATGGATTCTCCTTGGGTGGGGTGTTCATAGTGGCAAAAGAATTGGGCAAATATCATTAATAGTGATTTATCTAATCATCTTGATGCAGCACCAGAGATCAAAGGCAATGATCCTAGTGCAATGGATGATGATCGATTGCAGAGTTTATTTGAAGTCGAAATCCCGTCGTTCATTCCTGGGTTTGAACTGCCAGATGAAGAAGCCAAGAGGATACGAGATTATTGGGAAGCGGGTGAAACAGCTGCAACCAAAGTGAATAAGATTTTTTTCTTCTTTGTCTTTTATTTTCAACCAGTATGGGTTTTCGAAAATACCAAAAACTGACACTCTTTTTGTTTCTCTGACTTTGATTGAAATAGCTCTTAGATCAATTTGTAAACACATCACTAAAATCTCACGAACCTAAACAAACCAAACTATTTCAAACAGATACAAAACCGAAAAGTACACCAACGATTTTAGAAGAATATTCAACATTAAGAAACCGACCTGATTTACCTGGTACATCTCGTTTATCTGCTTATCTTGCTGCTGGCATCATTTCTCCTAGAACTTGTGTTAGAATCACGTTAGAGAAGAATGGAAAACAATTCAAGAATCAAAAACTTCAAGTTGATCAACGTGATACTGGAATTGGTATGTGGCAAAGTGAATTAGGTTGGAGGGATTTTTATCAACATGTTCGTTCTCCCTTCAATCTTCCCAATTCATCAAACAAACACCTATTCTTAAACTACCTTTTTGGTTTTTCTCTGAAACTTTTAGGTACTTGCTGCTTGGCCAAGAGTAAGTATGGGACAAAATTTTAATCAAAAATTTGATCCAATGGTATGGGAAAAAGATGAATCAAAACTTGAAGCATGGAAATTAGGTAAAACTGGGTTTCCATTCATTGATGCTTGTATGAGACAACTTTTAGAAATGGGGTATATGCATAATCGTGGTAGGATGTGTGTGGCTATGTTCTTGACTAAAGATTGTACGTTTCATTGTTCCTGTGTTTTGAGATGCCAAAAACTGATTATGATTTTTTGTGAGTAGTATTGATTGATTGGAGGATTGGAGAGAAATGGTTTATGCAACACTTGGTAGATGGTGATCTGGGTAGCAAGTTAAGTTCTCAATCTCCCTTTCTAACCACTTTTCTCAAATTCTCATATTTGTTTTTTTGTTTTTTCTTATAGTAATGGTGGATGGCAATGGTCATCTTCAACGGGCTGTGATTCACAACCATACTTTAGAATCTTTGCACCTTTATCTCAATCAGAAAAATCAGATCCAAATGGAGATTTCATAAGAAAATATGTACCTGAACTTAATTCACTTTCTGGCAAAGGTAAACCCAATTTTCCCTTTACCAATCAATAGAACAAATCATTCTTCCTGAATCTGATTGAACACATTATTTCGCATAGCTATTCATGATCCTTATAAGGCTCTTTCACCTGATAAATTCAAAAAATTAGGGTACCCTAAACCGATTGTTGATCATTCAGTTGTTCGTAAAAGAGCTTTAGTCCGTTATAAGGTTAGTACTTTGAAATATTTATCTTATATCATCTCTCTATCATCTCGAATCTTGATAATTGAATTGTGATGTTTTGGGGGTCTTTAGAACCCTGGTTCAGCTGCAGATCAGTGACAATCATCAGTTGATAGATGACTTCATACAACCGTTTTTGTTTTCATTTGCTCTCTGGAAGTAAGAATTTAAAGTATAGAGATTGTGTTATAGTATGATAAATAGATTGTAACTTGTCTTTTTGAATATTAATATCATCAGACCTACGTCAGCTAGAGTTTCAACAAAAATCGGTTTGGGACTATGTAGACACCTTCATTCTAGAGTCGCTCTCTTTGTTGTGATAATGGTATCCTAACATTTGTACTACATCAGAGCCTTACTGCAAATGTAGCATATTCCACGAAGTGACAGTCCAATGCGGTGTTACAAACTCAAAAGAACTGTTAACCTGGGAGCTATGATAAGACGTGATGTAGGGTTCTTTCTGACAGTTCAGGTCATTCATGTTAAATTGCTATCTGTGATAGTAAATTTTTCAATGAGCGCAACGTGAACAGTTATGTGGAAACGTCTTTTCATTAAATCACACTGATATTACAACTGTTTAAGCATTATTGAAAATATTGAACAAGAATATAGACAACGTTCAGAGGAAAGATGATAGCCAAGACTATGTTGTATACCTAATAGAAACGGTATTGGCAAGATGATGATAATCAGAAAACTAAAGAGATTGTTTTTCAGTTGATCTCATGACTTCGTCTTCTTGACAATCTTGATCCCGAATTGAGAGGTTAAATTTGATTTTTTCTTTTTAGGTGGTAGTTTTGTAAAACTGACATTCGTGAGCATTTCACGAGAAGATTCGGATAAAAGAGACTTCACATCTGGTTCTGCTTCTGTGTATTTCCGTTTGATAGTGATTGTTTCTGGGTTCGAAGTTGATGTATCATCATTTGGTTGATCGACTGGTTCAATGATTGATTGATCCGATGTCGATGCCAAGAGATTGCTTCCTGATCCAGAGGCAATAGGTTGAGAAGTTTCATTACTTGAAGAGACTGCAAGTGATTGTGGGTTATTGACTTTAGAAAAGAATCTAGCCACTTCAGCTTCATCTTCTTCTAATTCTCTCAGCCTACTCTCTTCTTCTTCAAGTTCTTTAACCCCAGCTAAACCAGAATCAAACCGACTACTAATACTACTCAAAACACCATCTGCATTTCGATTTTGCAAAGACCTTTCCATTCTTGCATTCCTAGATCGAATCTCTTGTAATTTATCTAAAATTTCCATTTCTCTTTTTGATTCGATTTGATTCTTTTCTAAACTTCTCATTGAATCTTCTTCTTTTTCTTCTAATTCTGCTCTTTCATTTTCTAATAATCTTTCGACTTCATCTTCATCTTCTGATCCTTCATTTTTCTTGGCTTCTTCTTCTCTCCATGGTTCAAAATTTCTTTGGGCTCCATGTTCGGCTACATAATCTGAATTCTTTGGATCGGTCTTGAATGTTATCTCGTTTGAACATCTGGGACATTTGATATAGAACCTATTGAGATAATTAAATAAATCGATTCATGATTAGTTTCTTGGATTAGATTTCGTAGTCAAACAGAGTATCTATGATCGGTCAATCGAGACCGACGTACCTAAAGATCTTGATACCAAAATAATGTTCACCAGCCGCAGCTTCCTTTCTGGCATTGAATTTCTTTCCTTTATAAATAAATTCTGATAAATAAAGAAACAGACTTTCAGTTCAGTAAGAATCTTTATCTCAATAAATAAAAACTCAAAATAATTCGGATTGATTGTTACCTGTACATGATTTACATTGCATAGAAAAGGGTGCCATAAGACGAACGACTTGTTGTCTATCTTTCCCTAATTTTCTTCTAGGAATCTTGGCAGGATCAAAATCCGGTGGGTAACTAGAAAAAAACATTATACATCAGTTCTATGAAAATCTCATTTAAGTTTACAACATAGATTCTTAATCAGAAGTTTGCTTAACTATTTGTTAAGAACCTTTCGTTCAGACATCTTTCGTAGGTGGTATTATTGGTTCTTGATTTGAGTGTTGTTGAGTTGGAAGAGTTGAAGAGTTGAAGAGTTGAATGGTTGGTAGACTGAGGTTGAGTGGATCGAAGTTCGGTTGGAATTCCCAGAAAAACCCAAGCTCCAAGGGTTATCGAGCCGGCTCGTGAACCTGGGCCGGGTTCATTTGAAAATGCCCCATTGGGCCCAATGTACCGAATATTTGCTACGGACTATCACACGGGAGTATTTGACAATTACAAGTCAAATTCCCATTTGAGTCGTTAGACCAATCCGTTGTCCTGCGGTTAGAAACCATCTATCGGTGATATACATACGATACAACCTACGAAGTCAGATATCGGAACCGCCAGACATCACGTCCCCTAACTTAACTAAGTCCCTCTCGGACAAACGAGTAGTCGAGAGAGGGACTTATACCTTATACCACATCTTTGGCGGATGAGCCGGAAACATTTGGCTGGGGACTTTTTCAACGCGCCATATCTGTGGATCCTGCAAACAAATGTCCTTGGGACCAAAGAAAAGAGCTATGCGCCTGCTTAATCTACACACATGTGTGTAGCCTACATCTAATTTGATTGAGAACTCACGGAGCAATGCAATTGTGAAGTTTGCAAAAATCACCAAAATCGGACAGAAAGCTGTCCAGCCTGTCAAAAGCTCACACCAAACGCGCCGAAATGTTACACAAAAACAATTTTTCAAGTCGGTTTTTAAGGGCTTCCCTGGCGGCAAAAAAGGGATTTGAAAAGATGTGCGTGTGTAAGATGATCACGCGCAGAGGACTTTTCTTTGGTACAGAGGATATTTGTTTGTAGGCTATAGAGATATAGAAGATTGAAAAGGTGCCCAGCCAAACTTCTCCGGCTCATACGCCAAAGTTGTGGTATAAGGTATAAGTCCCTCTCTCAACTACTCGTTCGTCCGAGAGGGACTTAGTTAAGTTAGTCACGTCCCTACCATAGGTACTTGACACTGGGGCAAAAACAACACTCCCGCTAGACGCGATGACTTCACATCCTTAGTACCAGGGATTTCATGGCCACACACACGAATGATAAACATTGCGTTCTCGAAAATCGTGTATGATACGAGTAAACCAAAACTATACTCCCGCTAGACGCGAAGATTTCAGATTGCGCATCCTGATAATCAGGGTTTTCATGGAATCATAAACATTGCGAGATCATAACATTGCGTTCTACGCAAGCAATTGTGTAGGATCCGAGTAATCCTGACATGCGTATGATTCATCCATCCGCAAACATGACCATCCGCTTCCGCTTATGTAGCAGCAATACCACATTACCACTAGAAGCGGTGACTTCACTATCACCCTTCATGCTCAAGAATTTGAAACTTTTTGTTTGTCGCTTGAAAATTTGCAAATGTTTCACTTGTCGATGTGATGTACAAGCGATATACTTGTGGTGTGACGGAAACTACTCAATGTCGCGTCTTTCATGATATAATTTCAGGAACCGGTGTTCGAAAGCATGAATGATGTTCATCAGAGTACTCAAAGTAATATGATTTCTTCAAAAGTCTACACAAATAATTACTCATGTGTCTCACTTATTATATTTACTCTGAAAAATATATAACAATGAATTAACTGCAGTGTCATTGATTCAAAAAATTATCAAGAAAGTTATAAAAGTAACAGTCAAACATTTACAAAAAAAACCATTAACGTTAAAAAATTTAGTATTCCTTTGTCCACTTTATTATCACCCCACTTCATTTATTGCTCTGCTATCTATAATCATCCCGGTTATAAATTTCAAAATTCTTTCAACAGAGTTTTCATTCAAAATCTTCGCAAAGAGGTATTACTCCATCAAAGAAAGATTTTTAAATTTCAGTCACAAAGGCTATAATGCTTGTCAAAGATTTTGTAGAACGCCTCTCCAAGGACTACCCCAATACATACGACACCATAACTGTCAGCCAGGTAGCCAAACTTGCGACCCTGGCTACCAAGTTCTTAAAGAGGACTGATGATGTGTACGGCACCTCACCTACGGAAGCGCCCATAGAATTCATCGCTCGATGCCTTGACAATGAAGACACACCTGTGTCAGCATGGGCACAAATGTGGAACATCATATATGACGATATTCCCAATGCTCTACACGACCAAAATCTTTTTTTTGAACAAGGTATTCCCCCTGAATACCACGACCCAGACGCTTTTATAATACCTCAACACGCCATCCAGCCTCCTACCGAGAACTGTCTGACTTGCACATTGGAACTCGAAATGCGGCGACAAAATTATGCATATTTGATTGACATCAATGGCATTGAAACCGTACAGTATTTTACTGGATACTGCCGAAGTGAGCAATCTTATAGATCATATTAATCATGTTGTGTTTATACGCTGACTCATTCATGTAACCTCACACTGGGACTTTGCCAAACAGACTGCAACACAACTTACACACCGTGCTACGTCCGATGTGATGAATATTGTGAATACTATACGCATGAAGAGGGTCAACCAGCCGATTATTTCCAAGTTTCCACACACTACTTCATGTCTCACAAGTTGGCCAACCACTTCAATCACCTACAGATGCTTGCTCAGTAAGTAGTTTCACTTCAAGACCAAAAGCGACCTCGTAGCTATATCTAACTTTCATTATTTGACATTCAGGGTTTCTATCTACAATCTAGTCAATTCATATAACTACACACACGCCATACCCAACCAAACTTACCCTAACACATTTCGGGACGACAGTTTTAATTGCTGGTTGAGTCAAAATGTATGTTCACTTGGCCTAGACATCCATAGATTGATGAGAACGTACAATCGCCGAGGCATCCGTTTGAAAAGTGATGCTGAAGGGGCAGATGACCGCCGATACTTCACCGCCATGGCACAGGCCACCGAATGGCTCGAAGTCAAAGGATCTCCCCATTTTGCACACGTCTGCACCCTATGTACTGAAGTCAAAGAGATCCCCAACAAAGACGAAGCCCGAAGTACGCATTGTTGCAATTTGTTTTATTTACTATTTACAATTTACTGAAACTTATCATTGAAACCTTTTGAAGTCATGCGCGCGCTTGTAACCGACGGAATCACTATGGGACACTGGTGCTGCAGCGTATCCGAAGAACAGCTTAAAGCACTCAACCCTACTACAACTGCCATATATTGTGATCAATATCTCGACAAGCTCACACATAAGTTTTGTTCCATGCATTACAAGTTACTCAAGAACTGCTGCCAAGCTCAGCCATGTGTGGCACCTTGCGAAACTGATAGCAAGACGTGCTCAGACCCTGCACACCAAACTGCATATAAAGAATTCCATGAACGTAACGGCACTCTCTTTGGATTACCTCGTAAATTCAAGAGGCCGAATACTCTTTTACAAATAGATCCCAGCGAATTATTATCTGCTGAAACTGGTGAGGTGGTTTTCACCGATGAAGAGTTACTATTATGTGAGGTCACAGAACGCGAACACGAATATGCAAGAGACGGAGGTGAAGCTGCCAACAAAGGTAAAAAGCGTATCATTCTTCCGCGCGGTCGTACTCACAATGAGCAACTGATGGTAGCTCCATGTGGCATCATCATTGCTCGCAAAACCTTTTACAAATCAGAATCAGTAACTAAGGTCAAAGTGATGCCTATCACTTATTTCTAACTGTTTACTTCCATTTACTTATGCTCATATGACTTGTTTGCTTTGACAGGATTGGATCAAAGAGTTATTCCCGATAGAAATGCCTCAAGTAATATTTTATGATAATGCTTGCGGGTTATACTCCCATATACGCACGAATCCCGACGACTTAGACTTCTTCCGCAATACCCTTTTCCCAGTCGATACGTTTCACATAAAGTCTCATAAAGAATCACACGCCACCTGCAGACTCAATAATGATCCAAACAAATTTCCTGAACTGAAGAACAAGAACGGTGATGGCTGGAGATTTAATGCTTCAGCTGCCGAAATTGAAAATGCTTGGTTTGGCCGTTTTGACTCCATGTGCCAAGGTATGCACCCAATCAGGTACAATTTTGTTTTAGATGAGACTAGAGTCTCGTGGGCGGCCCGCCGCCCTCCCGACCCAGTGTTTAGATAAGTCGGCCAAGCATAACGTTACGTTTACGTATGTGACGCAGGTTGACCGTCGTCAATTGTCCCTCTTGACACGGCGATAGTGTCTACGCTGCAAGTGACTGTTTCGGCCCATGGGCCAATACTGTCTCCATGCCATACTTCGAGTTGACCACCAAGGCAATTCAGCTTGCCCAGTTTTTGTTCTTATTCGTCATTATGGATTGTCATGACTCGGTTTTGAGCCACGTTTGTTGGTAAACATTGCAGATGCCGCTGTGTAATTAGACCCTTTTCAGAATCTTTATCACGGTGGCAGGCTTACACCTCGTGCAAAGATTAATGCATCAGGGACAAAGGTTTCTTTGGTAAAACAATAGGTACATGATTAAGGGCTGAAGGGGCATTGACGATGACACGAATTACGTTGGCAGCGTATTGACGCATGGTGGACGTATCGGTATGCAGCCATTATGGACCGGAGGGGCCGGTTGCGAAGTATCGAGATGAATAGGTCATCGCTATGGCCCCGGTATGACCGCAGCGGCTCCTACCTCGACACAGGGTGCTGTTTCCATCCGTAGGATTCTGGGCAGCATCTTTTTTTCGTTTCGAGCACATTTTCTTTTATTTGTTTGATGATCAGGATTCATAACGAAAGATTGGAGGAGAAATTAATGGCACGCAGTAAGGTTAATTTTCTAGGAAACATCAACTACAGAACTGTTGATATGTAAGTAGTATTAACATCCTATAGTACTTTTCACTTGACTATACATGCTTACTGATTCTGATGATCTGAAAGGGGATACGACGAGACTACTCCACATGACGGACATATTGAAGAATCTCATTAAGTAATATTAAATATTCATCCACTGTTCCAACCTTTACCTAGACTTCACACTAGTATATTAAAGTGTCAATTTTTTAAATTTGTTTCCTACCAATAAGCGATCAATCGATCAATCACATATATAGAAATAAAGTAATATAAGTGTTTCAACCACCATATGTGTTACGTGAATGGTATTTCAACATTGTACACGTCTCTTAATGTACTCTAAACTTACAAAACCAATTTCCGTACAAAACCACATTATTATATTTCTTTTACAAATCAAAAACAAAAGATATTAACCAAAAGCGATGTTTCAGTTGTTTGAATAAAAACCTCAATGAAAACCAAACGCTTAATATAACATTCACCTATTTGGTGTATGCATATTATGAAAGTTCATCTTAAGTTCCGATCATGCCTGATCCTGATCACGATCACATCCAAACATTAACTTTGGGTATTTCCGGATGACAATGTTTTACTAAGAAAATTCTGATCAGATGTGTTACACACACCAACCAACGATAAGTTGAGGTCCAATACATTTACTGATTATAAGCAAAGCTTTATTTAATCCGTGGTTTTAAATGTGGAGTCCTACTTCGATCTCTTCGATCTTTTTCATCGCGATCGTAAGGCCGTTTAGTCACTCTTATAGACATCCTTCTAACGATTGTCATGGTGTTCATGACGTCAAACTACTGGTTTCGCAAAATGCCTTGATTCATTTGGTCATCATGCGCTCTCATGTATATTTCCAAACGTCCTACGTATTTTAACAAATCCAACTATCATTTTATTCGATTTTTTTACTATTTTATCTCAATCTCCTTCAATCACTGAACCTATCAAGTAAACACATCCATTCATTAATTTATATTATAATTTTTTATTAAACTTATATTTTATCTCAATATCCATCACTCACTACCGCTTGACAGACATCAATATTTGTTTATTCTACCTATTTTATCATGCGCATTGGTACTTCGATCCCATTTAACGCATCACATTTCACAGTTTCAAACACCAGCACCTCCTCCTTGCCACCTGTTTCCAGCTATCTAATTGGTCGAACTGACACAGCCAGTCCCATTACTGAAGATCCTATCAACGCCAATGAAAATGTGGAAGATCATCAACAAATGAATGCCGATTCTTTGATTTCGAATGTTGGAAACAACAGTTTGGAAGATAACAGTCTACTCGGTGAGTAGTCAACCAAACTTTATAAGTATATTGAAATTTTGTTGATAGCTTGTTATATCCGGTATGAAGAGTCCTCCACTCTTACTGCAATAGAAACACCTTTGCCATTTCGATCTGTGCCACACTCGATCAGGTTTCCTCTTCAGCTTGAAGTTCAACAAATCCGATGACCCCGTTTTATATTACGACACTACACCTGATGATTTCCAAGAGATGGCCACTCTGGTTGTATATACAGTAGGTCAACCGTTATATATAGTTGGGTGTCGTGACATGGCAGCCCGATGGGTGTTCAGACATATAGAAGTTGAATCGAACTTGGTAAAACGTTTGATGTTGGCCAAATACCATGATTCATGGGCTTATACTGAAACACAAGGACAAACTCAGGCATTTGAACGCGCCCGAGCTAACTTGTATGTTGCTAAGATGTTAAGGCATTTCCAAAATGCCCTGAAACATCTGTGGCACATGCCAGGTTGTGATAACGTGCGAGCGAAATTACAAGCAATTCATGTAGCTGCACGAGCTTTGCAGGTAGGTGTATGAAGCTGTTCAATATATATTTTATTACATTAGATCTGACACACCTATAAATCCACAGGTTCCACCGCCTTTTGTATTGCACACCGTGGGGCAGGCCACATTCTCAGAACCCGAATGGATTTATTGTGAAACCGCCGTTGACGACGATAACAAGCGCTATGTCCACGCTTATAAGTTTCACACTGCCCAGCATGAATCCGACCCTTGGAAGGATTTAATTCATGGTTTCATTCACTTTGCATACCAAAAAAGTGAGGAGAACTCTTTGATAGCGCAATTGGATTGTGATGGCGATGGTATCATTTCGAACTTGGTATGTTATCCAAAACTGTGAGTTTTTTTAATCACAAAGTCAAACGATCACATAGTGAGCTTTTACATCTTACTAGGTCTCATCTTGGCCCAGTGTCTGAGTACACTGAGACCGTCGACAAAGCATTTCAACACTTCAAGGGCGAACATGAATGCAACAAGATATGTAATATCTTGGCTTTGCGACAACTGGATGATGTGTGAATTAAATTTTATTGAGACATTATGATATTTATCATCGACACTTTTTTATTACCACAATTTAAGATGGGAGGTTTTGAAATTGGTATTTTGACTTATGATTGTTGATATTATCATATCATCTATAATGCTTATTAAATTGCTCTTGATCATTTGTTGTGCTATAGTTTTTTTATGTGTGGCACGTTTAATATATTGTTTGTATTATCTGTTGAAACACAAGAACTTTTGATTGATGGCTGCTTTTTCTGACTTGAATAGTATTAGTATACTTTTGACAAATCACCTGAAACTTGGGAAGGTTTACATGCACAAATTTCTTTAATGGAAAATTATTTGGTAATTATTAGCATAGCATAAAGGTAGAACAAGGTGACGGCTCACATAACATCAGAGTAACTAACAAGAAACATAGACTAGAAAACATACAACATACAATTTAAATAGCCAATTTACATGTGAAAAAGGGAAAAGATATACACATAAGGCTGGAACAAAGTTAAACATTACAACTATTTGCAGTGAATCAATAAAAAATTGTGATTTACTAAATGAACACACCAAACAAAACTAGTTAAGATTTAGTCTAATCGGACCCGCTTTCGAGGTGAAGGTTGTGAAATTTGTAGCTGGGTATCAGTTGCAAACCATGCTGCGTGGAAATGCGTGATACCACGTTGCACTGATTTGTGGCCGTTGATAGCGAGGTAAGAATCTAACTGGTTTTTATCAATAGCTTCTAGCCAACGACGGTACCGTGATACAGTTGATTTTACATATTTATAACCGTACTGATCATAAACAGACTTCCAAGCTGATTTGTTGGTAACATCATCTTTCACTGCTTCTGATAGAAATTTGCCGATATCATTCATCGAGGACCTACCAGGCCAACCTGGTCCAAAAGTATCATTCGATTCTCCATTGTAACTGGATGGAGTGGAAGCAAGGTCGATATTGGGATTGTTGGTGGAACATGACATAGGTTGATCATTTAAATTTAAAGAACTTGCACTTGGTAAAAAGCCGTCAACATTGATTGAATTCTTACGAGGCGATGGCGTGAGGTATTTGCTAATGGACATTGAGGCTTGTTTACGTTTCTTACTCGAGATCGATGCCATTTGCTGATCAAGGCTTTCACATTGAGTCGGTTCAACGTCAGGAAACAATATTAATATCTTACGGCTTTCGGATGAGTATTTATGAATGGATCCGATTGGAATGTTAAGCTGTTTTGATGGTAATATCCGCTTTTATTAGATGAATGCTAAATAAAAAATGTAAAGATGTTGGATACTCACCCATAGCTGATTTTCTTCGTGCCATACCTGAAGACTGCCATTCCATCCTGGTCCCATATGTTTATGGGTGAGTTTCACAAGGTCTTCTGATTGGTTTAAAGCTAGAAGTGGCCACTGGGGTGCGTATACAACACCACCCCAATATCCAATCCGATCAATGCGGTGAGCCTATCAAAGTAATGGTGAGTTATATTACCTTTTTCACCATGTTGAATTGAATAAGTTTCCTCACCTCTGTTCCTGTCCACACGACTAGAGTGATTTGCTTGTTGGCAATCAACTCGGCATCCTTTTGGCTACGATCATCTGCCTGTCTCGATATGGATATACGTTTGAACTTGGTGAGTTCCAAGGGGAGGAGAAGACGTGAGTAACTTCGTCCAGCTTGAGTGGCAGGAGTAGGCAAAGGTCTGCTAGTGGAAGTAACCGCGGAGACATTGGGATCAGACTCGCTAGATATGGAAATGGGGTTGTTTCGACCAAGTCTGGCTCGCAGCGCCAACGGTAGCGCGGAGCGCGGCGTGGCGCTGCGGCACGGGGCTGCCGCCCCGTTACTTGAAATTTGCAAAACTGGGGCACTACGCCCCACGCCAACTTTCCAGGCCCGGGATTTGTTCCGCAGCGCCTTTCGCCACTGGATAGACCTCCCCACTATCTTGTAAGCTACTCGACTTTCCACCTCTCAGCCACCCAACTCCATATGATCAATTATGGAACATTGGAAGTACAATCAATCTTTCGATCAGTACCGCCATATCTGGCTTCAGCAAGCCATCATTCAACACAAATCACTCTCAATACCAAACAAATCAAATCAGTCTCCGTGTATGGTTTCCATGAATCTGATCAATCTGAATGTGAATGTCCACATCTTCAACATTTTCGACAACAGATGCATCTCTTATCGACCGTGCTCTTGGGATACAAAGGTGAGCTTCCTTTCCAACTTCACCAGCATTGACTACAGTTTTTCATAGTATTTCACTTGACTGACTCTGAATCTCGTTACCCATTATCAATTTTCTCATTTGAAAATCTTCAAACCACACCAACCCATTCCCATTATAACCTCTATCTATCAACCAAACCAAATTCCAAACAACCTCATCTTGAACATGTCTACATCGCACAAGCAACCGACTATCAATTCTTTTGTATTGTCTGGATACGAGACCGATAACGGCAACCCTGCTCCTAGACGCTCATCTCGTGTAGTTACACCGGCGAGACAAGCCCCTGGAATGATTACGCCGTCTTCTGACTCTCGCCGTGGTCTTTTTGGCGGGGTCCGAGATGTCAGGGACGCGCATGTCCATCGTCGGCGCGATCGTTCTGTCTCTTTACCAGGCGATGAACCAGCTCGTGAACCAGCTCGTGAACCAGCTCGGAGACGATCTAAAACGGTTTCACGTGCATCTTCTACATCTACCGTAAGTCATTTTCTTTACATATTCTTTTCATCAATCACTTTCGATCAATCTCCTCTTTTGGTCAATCTCTTTTGATCCATCTCTTTTGATTCATATCTTTTGATCTATCTCACATATATACTTATTTCATCTTTATATGTACATATCATAGGCTACAGGTACCCAGAGAGCCCGCTCTCTTTCGGTTTCCAATGCTGGAGTTGACGAACCCATAAGCAATGTAAGTTCTTTTCAATAGTCATCGCTTATTTGTATATATCAAAATCTCTGAATGTTATCACTTTACTTACAGGATCATGCACCTGTGGGCCCTCCTGACGTGGACTTGGCCCAAGATTCGGATGAAGACAACTTGCGGCTCCACAAAAGAAAACGAAACCAGTTGGTGCCTCAGGAGTATGATTGTCCATTCAAACATTTTGGACCACCTACTCATGGAAAAAATGATGTAAGCTTTAATATTTCTATTTAGTTATTCATAAGTATATGAATCACTGCTGATATTGAACACTTTATGATGTGAGCCACTCGATCAACCCGGACTGTCCTATCCATGCCTCTGGTGCAGGAAGGTTGTTCGAGTGAGTGCGAGCTCACGTAGATCGAATCTTAAGGGACATCGTGATGGTTCCAATCAAGCTGGTAAGTCAGGAGCGGGGTGTCCTCGCCGTGCACAGGCTATTGCAGCAGGTGCAAAGCTCCCTCCAGCTGTATCCGAGCTACGTCAGCAACATCTTCAGGAAGAACATCAAGGCTCTCTGGCGTCTTTCATAACCTCGGCACCTCAGTTTTCAAATCGGACCTTAAATCAATGCTTAGCGGTATGGCAAGTAGCTCAGGCGTTACCATTCAAACGCATCGACGACCCGATCCTCAAGTCTATTATGTATTGGATGTGCCCGGATGCCCGCGTCTTTGGTCGAAAGCGGTCAGCTGAAGAAGCCAAGCGACTTTATCTCTCCCTCAGGGATTTGGTAATTGAGAAGGAGCTCAAGGTAACATTCCATCATTTCAATTATTGTCGTTTCAATTCTTGTATATTATTATCAGACTAGTTGATTGACCACATTTCTTTTGACCTTTGTAGGAGTTAGATAGCAAATTTTGCTTAGTTCAGGCCTTCACGCGTTCATTGTCTGTGTCCTTCATCCGAAAGGACTGGACATATGTAGTTAGGCACTTGTCTCTCAAACTTGTTGCATGGCATCACAAGGGTCATCTCCTTGCTGAGCCCATGGTGACGATCTTGAAAAAGAATGATCTTTATCAAAAGATGAGTCACCTTTTTCCTTTTGATTTATCGTTTTTTTTTGTTTGTTCATTTGCTGACATGAAAATTTTCTTTACATGCTTGCTGGCGTGTCTGATTCAGGAAGTAACAACATAACCCTTGGCCGTGAGATGCAACGACAACTTCGGGACGCAGGCCATCAGACCGGTTTTGAATTTACTTGGAACCCCAAGCGCATGTCGGTGCGATGCTTCTGCCACAAGATGGGGCTCATTGTTAAGGCAGGACTCGACGCGCTGGGAATGAAACCCAGGCGTATTTGCCACAGCAACTTGGGCCGATTTCCTCCGGTCGAAGTCATGGCGGTTATTGACGAGGATCCGTTGGAAGGAGCGACTGTTGCTGGATCCGAAGAACCCGATTCAGATGAAGATGTTGTTGATAGTCAAGTTGAAGACGACTTCAACAACAGCAGTGACTCTGACTCAAATTCCGACCACAATTCCAATTCAGACTCTGAGGAAGAAGACATGGAACAAGATGATGAACCTGGACGATATCGACAACGCAAAGCTGATTATTTACTTGGTGATACATACATGAAGCAGTTGGCTAAAGATGTGAGTCATTCAACTAAACCATCTTCTCAATCCCAGTTTCTTTTGTTCATTTTTTTGTTTTTTAGATGGACACTGTAAATAAAAAGCTTACCCGTTCTAGTGGCCACCGTGCCGACTTCAATCGACGCCGCGAAAGAGCCAACATTCAACGTAAGCTTGACAACTTACCACCTCTCAAGGCCCTCTTATCTGGCCATGGGATACGGTGGGGAATTCGTGCCAAAAGATGGGAACGAATGTGGGAAGCAAGGGATGTGGGTACCCAATCACCTCCACCATCTTCTCTTGCAAATATACTTCTGACAAGTATATTTTATTTTCAGCTGATTGATGGAGTGATGAAAGAAGATTTGGCTGATGTTCATTCAAAGAGACGCCAACCACGCAAGGATGCTAAGAGACACGGGTATTTTGAGGAGGTCATATTCTCAGTTGCTGATTGGCAAGCAATGCAAGACATGCTGGACATTCTCACAGTAAGTACTTCATGTTCCTCTTTTATTGATCTCAGATACTGATTGTTCTGACGCACTCTACAGCCATACAAGATTTTAACCCGAGAAATGGAAGGTAATATACCTACAGGTTGTTTGGTGCTTGTAAAGTACGTGCAGCTCAAGATATCTATGGAGAATCGACTAAAGGTGATGCACTTGAACGATCCGCTTTATCCAATGGTCAACATCATGCTAGAAAAAATCCGACTATATTTAGAAGAGGCCCTGGCGTGTGACACTTTAGTTCTAGCCGCTGTTTTTCATCCAGGTCTATGAGTGCGTTTCTTCTCCCATTCTTTTGGCGAGGGCTCTCCTGAGCACATTCAAGCCGAATCACTTCTGGAAATTGCCTTCACATCCGAGGCTGAGCGTCAAGCCGATGTTGCACCGGTCACCACCTCTCCAGTCCAAGTCAATTCCCCTCCCAGATTGTTTTCGCCGGGTTTCCTTGATTTTTACAATGAGCCAGCTACGGAGAGCAACCTCAATGAGCTCGACCGATACCTTCAAGGAATCGATCCAGTCAAATCTCGTAATGTCAATAATCCCCAACACGCTTTGGACTGGTGGAAGGTAAGCATAAGATTCTTCTGTTATATCTTTGTAACTAAAGTTAACTAGTCCCTTAACAATCATATTTTGTTTCTAGTCGTTAGAAGGCAAATACCCTGTTCTGTCACGCTTGGCTCGGGACTACTTGGCAACTCCGGCTGCTTCGTCTGCTCCAGAGCGATCGTTTTCAATCGCTGGCCGGATCTGTACTGACGAACGAGGTGGATTGAAACCTAGAATGACTGAAATGTTAGTTAGTAGCACTCTCTGGATGGGCGAAGGCATCCCTCTCACAGGTGATTTTGCAGAGGTTGGAAAAGTTATTGATTTTGCAAAGAAAGCGCTCATGAAGAAATCCAGAGTTAATTACTCTTGAGTTTTCATTTTATTTCAATTGAAAAAAAATTATTTACATCTCTTTTATATTACTTGTTTCTCTACACTCCTTCACATAGTTGTTTTCTCCTTTCTTTACACTCCTTTATCACTAGTTTTCTTTTATTTTCATCTTTGAAAGAGATTTTTATTTTCAACAAAAAAACCGCTACTTTTTTGCCTGTAACGCTGAGTAGCGCTGCGCAAAAAAAATACGCTGCCAACTACCTTTTCAGCCAAAGGATAGTTGGTCACTACTGCCAGAGCTACCAAGCCTGGCCGACTTTTTTATGCGCTACGCCTCTCATTTTAACGCCAGTGGCGCTGCGTAGCGCTGCGAGCCAGGCTTGGT